TGAGGATATAGAGGATGTATATATGTTAAGTTTTTTGGTGCGACCCTTCTGCGCACTGCACCAAATATTGCATCTTGACCTTGATATCCAATATTCCCTAAAAATCACAAAATCCCAGGAGCTCGTGAAATTTAATAGCTGATCAAACATGGCAAATGAACATATTCCCTTTGCGGATCATTTCCCCCTTGCTGTTTTTGATTGCCAGAGGGTAGTAGGCTATGATATATTGAGATGGGCTATTAAACAACGAAAATTCGAATGATAGTCCATTGACGAACTAAGTAACTTCAGTAACCAATAAACCATGGCCCATCTAAGTTATCTAAGTATACTGGGTACTTCATGATTGTTCATTGGATTTGTAGACGATGTTCCCAGCTATAAACCCTCCACTTAAAAGGGGATTTCCAAGCCAACCAAGCCATCGTCGCAAGGCCAAGAGGCGTCCCCAATCTCATTGCCTTCAGAACAACCGGGTCTGGGGGAACCCCAGGGATTTCACCATCAAACATCGTGAGTTATTGGGATGTTTCGTAGGGACAATGGTGATTTATCTTTAAAAAAAACATTGCGTTTGAATGAAACTTCTATTTCATTGTTGACTTTCAGTTCATTTGGAACTAGCAAACAAAAAATGACATCTGAAATCTAGCACCTAAAAATCACAATCTGCGATATTTGTATATCTAATCATAACTATATAGTTACAACATCCACCGAACCCGGAAACCATCCCTCATGCGTCAGACCCAGGTTCAATACCCGGGTGCAACACTAGGCTGACAGGCGGGCCACTACCCCTGCAGTTAAGGGGATGAGCTAGGGTGTGGTCCGTAAAGACTCTCTCCTCCGAACCCGGAAACTGTGGTTTCAGTTTTCAAATTGATGGCTCTTCCGTGTGTGCTCTTGGACCCTCGAAGAAAAAACTATTCCCAGTAGATCCCCATGATGCTGGATTTAGAAAAAAAACGCAAGTTGTTCAATAACTTGAACCCCCATTCCCTAATTAATGTTACCAATTCCAAAACATGTGGTAAACCCGATGGGTAACCATCATTTTACCATTTTGGGGTACCATAAAGCAAACCATAAAGTGGGAGACATGCCACATCTATACAATTAAAATCATCATTGTTAACGTTAGCAATATTGCCTATGCATATTTGTCCGTTTCATTTATGTTGATTGTATCATGTACATCCGAGTTCAGCGAATTCCATTTCATCCCCCACAGCCCCCGAGTTGCCGCTTGTTGCCGGTTCGATGTACCATTTATACCATTTGTCATCATTTACAAACCCCTCCACAAATCAAACAACCAGTAGGACAAGGACATGTAGCTCACATCAATCTGGACAAACCATCATAGTCCAAACCATCTTCGTTATATCCTTCTATGGCACCATGTTTGTTGGTGAAGTCCCCATTCTGATTTGGCGTTTCTCATGGTTTAGTCCACATGTTTTGTTGGTCAAGTCACCATCTGTGATTGTTGAATTCCCATGCTTGTTGGTATCCCCGTTTTTGATGGTCAAGTCACCATCCATGTATGGTATCAATGTCATCAAGGCACCATAGAGGTACATCAATCGCAGGCTCGGGAAGGCACCCTCCCGCGCAGCTTGCGCCAGGGCTTTCGCTGCGTAGTCACCCAAGAGGTTGTCCTTTCGCCAGCAGTTAGAGCGGATGGAGAGCTGAGTTGGCCGAAGAAGAGCATATAATGTGGGAAACCCAATGCCATAAGCCTACAATTTCGGGATGGTTTATATAGCACCTATAATAATGGTCATGTTGGAGATGGTTTATGACGTTGGGTTTACTACATTGATTAGGTTTAATCATGATAATAATGATTTGTTTGTATGTCTAGTATGTTTAGTGGATTGTGATATTCCGAGGATAAACTGGTTCTGAGAAGTGGTTTAGCAGCTGCTTGCTGTGATTGGCGGTAGTGCCCTTATAAAGATGGATTGCATACGGTTGTGGAACATGCGGTGGCACCCAAGCAAGGGATTAGACTTAGTAACCTGGAATCCAGCCTCAAAAGCACCCCTGATACATGTCAGGAGCATTCCCTACTCCAAGTTGGTACTTTGAATTCCGGATTTGCCAGTTTAGTAAACCATCTCAGACCATCTCAACTGAATAGCTCAAAAAAAATCCTTGCAGGTTTCAACATTCACGAACAGTTTGCAGGTTCTATTGTAATTCCTGTACGGTAGATTCACTGATGGAGATGTCAATAAAAAACGCCACGAGTACCATGGATTTCACATGCCTACCAGGTGGTTTCCTGAACAAGTTCCTCATCTTGGTGATTTGTGACCCACCTGCTAGAGCTTTTACTTTTTCGTGAGACATTTGCCAGCCCACCTAATTTATCCCATGTAAAAAAACACATTCTCAATGTATGCTAAAAACCCAGCGAGGCATACAATGTGGTGCGCCGCCCCCAATAGTATTTGGTTTAGATATGTTCACCCATCCAACTAATTAT